AGCTCCAGCTCAAACCTCACTAATAAAGTCCAGACTTAAGCCTTATAAGCATATCAATTTGGATGTCTAATAGACATCCCAAATTTAACATGTCCAAAACAGAACTGATCTTTCTTCCCACACCTGCTTCATCTACAGTATTCCCCATGTTAGTTTATGACAGTACCATCTTCCCAGTTGCTCAATCCAAAAACCTTTCAGTCATTCTTGACTCTTCTCTTTCTTGACGCTTCTCAATCCCCAATTAACATCCAATCTGTCAGGAAGTCCTATTGGCTCTACTTTTAAAATATATTCCGGATCAAATCACTTTTCACCATGTTCTCTGCTACCATTCTGATCTGAGTCACCAAAATGTCTCACCTGGATTATTCGATGGCCTCCTAACTAGTATTCCTGCTCCTACCCTTGCCTTCCTATAGCATATTCTCAATAACAACCAGAACGATCTCTTTTAGTCAGATAATGACTATAATAAAAAATGAATAATAACAAGTGTTGACAAGGATATGGAGAAATTGGAACCTTCATGCATTGCTGGTGTAGCCCTTTTGGAAAACAGTTTGGCAGTACCTCAAAAAATTAAAAATTTGACCTAGTAATTCTAGTCCTAAGAATATACCCAAGAGAAACTGAAAACATATTTTCACAAAAAAACTTTACATGAATGTTCTTAGCAACATTTTCATAAGAGCCAAAAAATGGAAACAACTCAACTATCCATTAATTGATAAATGGATAATCAAAGTGTGGATACACCTACACAATGGGATATTATTCAGCCATAAACAGGAATGAAGCATTGATATATACTAAAACATGGGTGAACCTTGAAAACATTATGCTAAGTGAAAGAAACCAGACAAAAAGAGTATATAGTTATACAATCCCGTTTTTATGAAATGTGTATAATGGGTAAGTCCCTAGAAACAGAAAGTAAATTAGTGTTTGTCAGAGGCTTGGGGAGGATAAATGGGAGGGATTGCGAAGAGGCATGGGGTTTCTTTTCCAAGTTGAAAATGTTAAGGAATTAGACAGTAGTAATGACTGCACAACATTGTGAATATATTAAAAACAACTGAATTGTACACTTTTAAAGAGTGAATTTTATGCTATGTGAATTACATTGCAATTAAAAAAAAAAAAGGCCATAAGATTTTGAGCTTCTTTTCTATGGTTTACATGCACAGGACCAGCCACCTGAGCTAGATTTACTAGTACAGAGGATTAGTCTGTCTTAGAGCTTCATGGAAGTCCATCAATAAGTAAACCATCCCTACATGACAAATGAAATCTGAAGTTAGAAGTTTTTCCTGGGAGTACACTTTAGGAAAAAAAAAAAATCCAACGTAAATTCTTCCATCAGGGACTCTTAGGTAATATAATTTGAGGCTATCTGTGGTTTTGCCCAAGACAAAGAAACATTCTTTGGAAGATGTTGCTTCTATTGATCAACTCTAAAAGATTAGGGCATAAAATCAAATTGCAACTAAGCCCATTAAGGAATTTTTGTCAAAATAGAATAGCCTATTTCCAGATGATCCAGTTTTATATAGAGATAAAGTTTATGAAGCCAAGAGACATAAAGAATCACATTCCCTTAGACCAACTTCCTCAAATACCAGATGTCTCAACTGAGCATTTGGCAAGTATTAGAGGGCAGTCTAAATTCTGATTTGTATTGTTGATTAAATAAATGTCCATATGTTTTTAATACTGGACATATAGGTAGCAAAGTCAATATACTGTCATGAGAACTTAGGGGTTGATTTATATCCTTGTCTAATCAAATAGTTATCATACTTCCAGGCTGGGGTAAACTCAAAATATCTGCAGATGGGGGTAAAAAGATTTTCAGATTCAGCAAAGAACCCTCAATCTTCCCATTTGGGCAAGCACTTAGTTGAGAGCTGAGCATTTGTGCTGTTAGACCTGGAAGGCATAATTTGGGTCTGAACAACTCCAAGGGCAGGTGTTTTTTAATTGACTGCCCCTATCAGGAAAGCATGTCAATAGAAGCCCTGCAAAACACGTAATTCAGTGTAGACCTGCATTTTTGATGAACTAGCTCCAAAATGGGCCCTCCCCCCATTTAGAGTTAAAGTATATTAGTTTTGGACACTACAGTACAATGCTTTTCTCTATAAATGTTTACTGAATTAATAAATGAATGACTTAATAAATGTATATTATACTATCACGATAATATTAGAGCTGAATATTTTTCTTATATACTTTTAATTGGTAGGTCATGTGCTATGCCCTACATAAACCATTGACAAAAAGTCTGGAAGTTTTTTCCAACTTTATGTTCTAGGTTGTTTCCTCATGTGTTTCTAGGTTGTTTCCCCACTACATTATAAGCTCTTGGATGATGTTATTTACCTTTGCATCCTCCACACAATGCCTACTCCAGGTCAAGACCCATCAGCAGATACTTAAAAAACCAACAGGAAAGAGATACTGAATAGAACTAGTTGGGCTTGTGTTTTAAACTTCAAGTTTCTGATGTGGAGTATGTTTGAAGGTACAAAGGCAGGCACTCCACTCCAGAAGCTAAAGGGGGACAGCTATTCCCTTTACCCTCCCTCTGGCAGCTGGAGTGTAGGTCAAAGACAAGTCATGGCCAGACAGACTCTTCTGTAAGGACTGTGAATCTGGAGGAAATGACTCAAGGTACAGGGTTACTTAGAGTTTGAGGCATCAGTGGCAGAATTGTGCAATTGCAGCACAGCAGCTGATCTCCAGGGACAGTGGTAACAGAGCAGATTCCTACTGCAGAAATTAATGGCCTCATCTTGCCCCTTATCTTGGTTCCTGCCCCAGCCTGGCTCTCCAGACTTCTGTCAATTCATGAGCCACCCAAGTAAACTGAAGAGTAAACTTGAAGGCAATCAAAAAGTACAAAAATACTAAGATTACCCTTCCTACTCATTTCCTTGGAAGACATATCACTACTTACACATTAACTCAGTCAAACAATGATTATGGTTTTCCAGCCACACTGCTCTCTCAGATTTTCCTAGCCTTTCTGTGAAATAAAGTTATCTTTAAAAAATATCTGGGGGGGCCTGGGTGGTTCAGTCATTAAGCGCTTGCCTTCGGCTCAGGTCATGATCCCAGGGTCCTGGGATCGAGCCCCACATCAGGCTCCCCACTCAGTGGGAAGCCTGCTTCTCCCTCTCCCACTCCCCTGCTTGTGTTCCCTCTCTCGTTGTCTCTCTCTCTGTCAAATAAATGAATAAAATCTTTTTAAAATAATAATAATAAATAAAAAAAATCTAAATGTCCTTTTAGATTTTAAATGTCTAATATATTAAAATAACATTTTCCCACTATTGTAAGGAAATGGAGCAAATAGAGTAAGAATCTTTCTAAAAATCCAATACACATAGAATAGCCAAAGCTGGAAACCATACAAGTGTCCATGATTGGATGAACAGATTTAAAAATGTGGTGTATCCATGCAATGGAATCTTTTTCAGCCATAAACAGGAGCTGATCCATAGTTGCATGAAAACATTGTGCTAAGTGAAAGAAGCCAGATAATGGAGATGGTTGCACAGCTCTGTGTATATACTAAATGCCATGGAATTTGCACTTTAAAATGGTTAAGATGCTGAGTTTTTCTGTTATGTATATTTCATTACAATAAAAAATGTAAATCCAATATGCAAAAAAAAAATCAAAGTAATATCAAGGAGAACATTTAAAATAAGATCCCTTCCCTCCTATTTGCAGTAGAACAGGGTGACTTGTCAAAAGAATTTTTCTGCTGGCAAAATCTTTGTGGTTGCAACTTTCCCTCAGAACTCTCAGTAGAATTTTCAATCATTATGTAATTAAGTTTTCATAATAAGAAATAACCTGTGTCTTGGTGAGAGGAAAATAAAGCTCATTCAAAAGACTTTTCATTTATCTCTCATCATAATCACATCCATTTCATTTAGACACCATAAGGATGTTGTGAAAATGAAGTATAATTTAATGGATCTTGGTAAATATCATTTTCCCACTCTGGCAAATTTGAAAGCTCTTTTCTTACAGATTAGCATCAGTTACTCAACTTTCCAAAGATGTAGGACTTTAAATGGGAAAAATGGGCTGAAGATACTGGGATTTAGGACATTTTTCAAACGGGGAGAACAAAAATGTGCTGCTAGTTGCTATCCCAGAATTGGATCACTCATTATTGTAAAATTATTTCAAGTTTGTCCAGTGGAATCCTGGGAAATGACATTTACTCAATTTTTTTTACTCTAGAATTTTAAAACTCCTTTATCTTTGATTCCTATCATTTTCACATTTCCCCCCCAAATCTCACATACATCAGTAGTTGAAAAGAAAAAAAATATGTGAATACACACACTCACATATACATCTAAGACCCTCAATTATTGCTTTTCATCACCAATAGAACTGAAAAAGAAAACCCCACAAAATAGCAAGTATCCAACTTTCAAAGTATCGATTTCAGTCTGTTTGTATCAAAGCCAGAGTTAGTGTCTTTTCATTCTACTAAGGAGCAAAAATGGTCAACTATTTCCTGATTAACATTTCCTGAATTACTTAGGGTAAACTGAAATACCATCAACTTTAAGTCCTATTTCTCAACTTATTAAAAAATGTGTGTTGCTTAAAAAGGAATTTTCAATAACCTCTTGGGAGAAAAATCTCAAGATTTTCCCATCCAAGTTGCTAGGAAGAAACCATCTTCGTGCTTTTACAAATCCCAAAAGCATTTCCTTTCAGAAGTACATAAAATACAATTACTTCCATTTACTTGTAGCGGGAGGCTTTATCAAAGGAGGTTTTCACCCAGTCTCTTCAAAGCAGGTGCCTGTAATTAAATGCGGTCCTCTCACCTGATTCATTTCCCATGCTTTGAAGGGCTCTACTGGAGAGCACTAACTCACTCTGCATTCAGAAGGAAGATATTATTGCCAACTTCCGCGAAGCCCTCTGAGAAATTCATCAGTGCTACAAACTACTGACCTTACCCTAAACCCATCTGCTTGCAGGCCAGCTGACTTAACGTCTCCTGCCAGCCATCCGCACACACGTGGTGTTCTATGGCAGATCTGTGAGCCGTCAGGAACGAAGAGGAGCTCACATTTTTAGAGAGGGTCACTGAGGAGAACAAAAAAAAAAAAAGGAAAATCCTAATTAGAAACATTTCTCCTCAGGAAACCAAATGCTAACTCTACATGCTTTCGCTTCACTTGCATACATTTGTTTTTATTTATTTTAATTAAGAACCATTTGGTGAATGCTTGCCCTCTGCAAAGCACTGCTCTCAGTGTGGTGGGAGACTGAAAAAATGAAATAGAAATAGAAAATAGAATTAATCAAACTCAAGTTTACAAATTGTAACACTGGAGGTCTGGTGGGAGGTACTTTTAAGTCTTGTCCATGTGAGGAACTAGACAGATGGTCGTCTCATTTGGATCTGGTGCAAGACTACAGGGAAGATGGAAGATCCACTTTAATACCCTATTCTAGGAGGTGTCGACGATATAAGAATGACAGAATATTGGTAATTGTTGAAGCTGGGTGATAAAAAAGAATTTAAAAATTGTATTCTAGTAGTCACATGGTCATAACAATTTGAACCCAAATGTTTTTACGTATCACATAGACATTTCAAACAGCAAGATAATTTAGGGGGAGATGTTCTGTGAGTTGGAAACAACATATATGAATCACTACTGCCAGGTTTTGGGTTTTTTTTACACCAGTGTAATAAAAACTTTTATTCCAAATGTAACTTACATAAGGCTTATAATTGACTCCATAACATTTTACACACATTTAAGCCTTGGCGTGTGTTTTTTTCTTTTTTCTTTTTTTTTAATTTAATTTTATAATGTTATGTTAATCTACCACCAGCTTTTATCATCACTAAACGAAACAGGTGAAACTGGTCAGTAAACTCTGTGAAGTCATCTAGGCTTTATCAAGCTTCAATGGCTGACGGGTGTTAGAGCATGCAGCTGATGGCGGAAACACGCAGCTCACCACAGTCCCACTCGTCAGAACTGTCCAAGCAGTCGACTTCCCCATCACACCAGCGCTCACGGGACACACACTCATGGTTTGCACATTCGAGTTCGTCATCCTGGCAAAATGCTGGCACCGGGAACAAGAAGCAAGAAGATGGAAACATTTCAGAAACGAGTGTGAGTCTCACTAAGATGCACATTATCATCTGTCCCAGGAGCGTGTAAGGTAGGAAAGCTGTGGGCACTGGGGCCTCCGAACAGGTATCAAGACAGAATAACAGAATTGGTAAAAACTCATACCACAGATGCCAATCCAGTCAAATAGCAAGCATTTAAACAATGCTACCATCTCCAAGTGACTGCATTGTCTAGTTCTAACACTAGGCTTGAAAAAGTGGTACCCAGAGCAGCAGAAATTCCAGGAATTGAGAGAATGGGATTGAAGTCTGGAGTGGACTGAGCCAAGCACTGGGGCTGAGCAGAATGAAGAAACCACAGGATGGAAACAAGCTCTGTCCACATATACGGATAATGTTTATTCTTTAAAAATCTCTACTGGGGCGCCTGGGTGGCTCAGTCGGTTGGGCGGCTGCCTTCGGCTCAGGTCATGATCCTGGGGTCTTGGGATCAAGCCCCACATCTGGCTCCCTGCTCGGTGGAGAGCCTGCTTCTCCCTCTCCCTCTGCCTGCCACTCTGCCTACTTGTGTTCTCTCTCTCTCTGTCAAATAAATAAATAAAATCTTTAATAAAATAAAATAAAATAAAAAATTAAAATCTCTACTATCAGAGCGCCTGGGTGGCTCAGTTGGTTAAGCATCTAACTCTTGATTTCAGCTCAATCATAATCTAGGGTTCGTGAGATTGAGCCCTGTGTCTGGCTCCATTCTCAGTGGGGAGTCGGCTTAAAATTCTCTTCCTCTCTCTTCTCCTTCTGCCCCTTACCCGCTTGTTCTCTCTCTCTCAAATAAATAAATCTTTTTTAAAAAGAAAAAAGAAATTATAGCGACACTCTTTAATTGCCTACCTAACATCCATCTCCTTTCTTTCTCCTTTTTTAAGGGGACCTGATTTTGTTCAGGTCCCCACAGTCCCAGAAGACCCTGATTAGTGTCATTCAGACAAAGCATTTTCTAACCACAACTATTTTTCTTTTCTGGGTAAAGTTATTAGTCCAACAGTAAACATGTGACCCAAGATCAGAGTTTTGGCCTACCATTTCATGGGTTGTGCCTTCCAAGATAGTTCCCACCCAAACCCTGTTGGCCAGATCATGCATCCTAGCCTGGGACAGGGGAAGCCTGAAGGAAACAGCATCTTTTCTAATTGGTTCTCCCTAAGGGGTGCTTCTTTTTGTGATCGAGCTATTTATGTGGTTATCTTTTCTAATCCATACAAAGATCCCTGAAGGCTAGCCGGAACCTTGCTCAAACCTGGCCAATCTGAGTGAATCCTTAAGTGATAGTCCAGACATGAGGGCGAGATCATCACTCCCTCCCACTGGATATGATCAAGGAAGCATAGCACCGCAGGTGCTCTTGGCAGCCATCTTTTGACCCTCGTAGAACCAGCGTGAAGTCAAGCTGAACTAAAAGAATCACAGAAGAGGTGCTGAACTCCCACATCTAGCTTCAAGAATCCATCCTCCACTTGACTTTTAAATATGATAACACAAGACATATCTGATACATATGGTAATAAAATATAATAAATGTTTTCACTGGTTAAGTCAGTCTGAGTTGGGCTTTCTGTTACTAAAAGATAAAATATCTTGATAGATAATTTTTTGGGGGGGTTCTAAAAGTGGTGGTCATTCATTTAGAAAATGTAGGAAAGACAGAAAAGCACAAAAATTTAACAATCCCACCACCCAGAGATAATCATTGTAAACTGTTTCTTGTGACCTTCTGATCTTTTTCTATGCATGGTTATATGTACTTTAAAAACTTAGGACAATAGTGCACATAATATTTTATATTTTGTTTCATTCAACTAATGACATTTAATGAACCCAGGAGGAATTATTCTTTTAATTTGATTTTTAACATTTGTATATTATTTAATTTTATGGTTGTATTTTATGTCCCCTCATTTTGGATATTTGGGGTGTTTTAATTTTTGCATGTGATAAATAATGCTAGAATAATATCACCATGCATGTAATTTACATACATTTGGTTATGTCCTTGCATGTATTTTTGTAAGTGGAGTTTCGGTCAAAAGATCTGAACATACTACAAGCTTTTGATACATATTTCCAAATTTCTAGTTTATATTCAAAATGAGCCCTAATCCATGTTTAACATAAACAAAGTTGTGTTGAGCAATGCAGGTAGGCACTTACAACAGTTCTTCTCATCCATGCCATCAGGACAGTCTGGGAACCCATCACAGATGACTGTATGCTTCAAACATTGTTTATTGGATGGACATTCCCAAAGATCTCTCTCTTTACAGCCTAGAGACAGAAGAAAAGGTTAGGTGACTGGGTGATAGACACTGGG